CCCTGATCTTGCGCTTCCTTGTGCCGTCACCGAATGTGGCTCTTCTTTCTGTTGCCCTCCAGTTGATCTAGTGTCCCGCTAGTTCTCATCTTTCGGTATTCATTTTCCATTTGTTGAGGTAAAGAAAACTCCTGAACAATCCAATTTGTCTACCCATTCATGCCTGAGTTGGTAGACTCGTGAAAAGTGTTGTTTCTCCTTCATGAACACTCGAAGATATCTCTTCGAAGTAGACCAGTACTCGTCAATTTGACGTATGAAAATGTACCAAGTCCACGGTCTGATGCTGGGAATTACGATAACCACCATGGCAGATGACTTCGTATAAAGTGCATATAAAGTCGCCCCGACAAGACCAAGTTGCGAAAACGAGGTCAACCCACTTGTATGCATCGAAAGGAGACTGCGACCATACCGAGGGTCACACCATCTTGGTCATCATATATATTCGATTAAGAAGAATTGTAGATGACTAACCAGATGTCCGAAAGGTCGATTTCACGAGCTCTGAATTGGTTTTGTCGACATGAGTGACCTCGTGGAGGCGCGATTGACTGTCAACTCTGGCTCCAGTTGCTGGGGCGATGGGCAATTTCTGTTGGTCATAGTGTCCGTCACGTAGATTCTTCTCTCTTGTGCAGCTGACTGGCGTTGGGCTGGTTAAAAGTGAACTGTTGGCCTCTTCCGTCACGACAGTTGCCAGACTATGAGGCTTGCATAAATCGGCCGACGGGCCGGAAATGCTGGCACACGACGTGTTCGTCTGTAGGACTGTATCAAGCATGACGGAAGCGACTGCATCGCGAATGGCAGCATGTTGTTCTGAGATGGGTCGTGATCGCACTGACAGCAGCACAACACCTTCACTGCCGGATTCGTCATTGATGCAGCTTCGGGAAGCTCGTATCCTCGAGTCAGAGGCCTGCTGATGCTGTATGGCATCGTTTTTGCCCACCGATGAGGTTACCATCTGGCCGGGGTTCCGAAACAGAGCAGGCTGGACATTGAGGTTGGATGTGGGGGAGTTTAAGTGAGGCTGAAAATAGGGAGTACAAAAAAGTGGCGTTCACGGATGAGACAAGTATATTCTTAAAGCGACAATTGTCTACAAAAGCAAAATATAAAGTTTTCATTATCCGACAAAAGTATAGTTTAGAAGTTGTTTGAACTTGTTTTCGCAACTCGGTCATATTGTTAGGAACGCACCTTGTCCGGAGTCCATTTTATGCAGCATCATTCCCAGAGTAGGACCGTAGACGTGGTACATTCACAGACGCTTCGCCGGCGGAGATACCACAATTGTTTAGCACATGTTTGGTCAAAGGATCGGCTTCACTTGTCTCTTTGACGAGCTGTACTATGGTGCTACGA